CTTGCTTCACTGGAGAGCCAGCTCAGGGGTAACTCCCATATTGGAAGCAATAGCCAAACCAACTGAAGCATAATGCTGTCAAATAACCCTAGAGGTACAGGTTTTCAGAGCCACAGGTAATTTAAAAATAATCTAGATCAAATTTCTGAAAGCAGAGGTTAAGAGAGCGAAACTCTAAATCTGGCCCCTTTCTTATGATACACTAAATATTTATCACCCTCCATTTATCACTAAACAATAATTCTGATTACTATTGATCAAGCTCTCACCATGTTCCAGGCACTCTGCTAAATGCTCTACGTGCATGATTTCATTTAACCCTCAAAACAATGCTGAATGAGAGAGACTATAACTGTTTCCATTTTGTACGGGTTGAAATGGAGACTTGGGGAGGTTTAATGACTTAACCAATGTCACGTGGCTGGTGGTGGGAAGGCCTGGGTCTTTCAACTTCTAGCTCAATGTTTCGCCCCTTTTCCTACATTGATTCTAAGTCCTCAAGATAGATCTGAATTACTTATTTGCAGATAGTTGCCACATTTTACTTATCAATTGAGTCTAATGGTATCACGAGATGAAACTCTCAGCCTCATAAATACTCACATGTAACTCTTTAAAATACCTTTTTTTTTTTTTTCAAGATTTCCACTGAGTGCTTGTTCCTGTTCCCTCCCTCCAAAAAACATTTCTGTAGAACAACGTGAGCCAGGTGGGTAAGATGTTAGGCTTTGAAGGGAACACAAAGATGAAGATCACATGCTCCCCATTTTCCTGGTACTGGCAGGAGAAAGAAATGACAATGATACACATGCCTATGAAACAGGGTGACCCATAATCAGTGTACTGTCAAGACAGCAAAATCAAGTGCTCTAGGAATACAGAGGTTGGATTCACTTCCAGAGGTGCCACCATAAGCTCCAGAAAGGAGACAGCCCTGGACGTAGACCTTAAAGGATGAGCAGAATTTTCACAGGTCTATGTGGAGCCTTTCCTTGGCCTGGTATATAAACATTTTCTGTTTTCTGAGTGTCTGGCGTGTACAATACATGCAGTAGGATTTTCAAATAAATTTTCTGGTTGGACACTAGCCACTTGAGGCTAGCTAGGAATCATGGACTTGGTTCTGATGCTACCACTGGATGTAAATTGTGTAAAAGGCCCCCTTCTCTGGGCCTCTGTTTTTTCCCAGCTATGAAGTAGGGATATGGAAGGGAGTGGGTGTAACCTTGCTCATGGGTCTCTGGTTAGGATCACATGAAGTTAATATATGCAAAAACTAATTGTAAGCCAAAATGAAATGCAAATATAAGGGATTATCTATCACTCTTCTTATTGGTGTTATAAAAATGAAAAAGAACCAATGCCCACATACTGCTCATTATCTAACAACTTTGTTTTGACTAACCACACTGGGTCAGGCACCGGGGATACAAAGATGACTACGCCAAGCCTCCATGCTTGGAACATGAAAGGTCTAGGAAAGGAGATGTCGGTACAATTGATGTTATAAGTTTAATGTGCTAGGACAATGGTTGAGCTGGACTTTGGCAGAAGCTCTGCTCCTTTTTATTGCTAGTACAGGTAGATGGCAATGCTAAAGTTAAGAACTTCAAAATCAGAAATTTAACAGGTATGCCCCAGAATAAACTAGGGTGAAAGGTGAGGGGAAATTTTTTAAGTTTGAGCTTATACTATGTTCCAGGCACTTTCACATCCATCATCTTCATAAAAAGTTAGATATTATTATGCCCATTTTACAGATGAGGAAGCTGAGACTCCCAGGAAGTTGGGTTTATAAAACCGGAAGATGTAAAGCCTAAATGTAAACCCACGTCATTCAATTGCAAGCATGGTGCTTTTCCTGGCACTCATTGTGTTCTACCTAGGCAATGTTTTTATAGAACTCATTCCATGCTCATTCTGAACGACCTTACTTCTTAGATTGCTTTTCGAAGGAGAAAGACTGATCTGTGATGAAGAGGTCTGACGGTAACCCCTTCTAGTGCATTTCCTCTTATACCTCCTAAGAGAAATTGCTTCCCTCCCACTGCTCTCTCCTGACTTCTTCCTCACCTCTAATCCCAATGAAATTGCCAAGGAGTAAAGAATCCCAGCAAATGAAGAGCCTGTTGAGAGAGATTCCTGCCTTCCCAGCAGCTGGCCTAAAAACTGAAACAAAACACACTGAAAGATGAAAGGAACCTGCCAGATGATTTAGCTCAAGGAGCCCACCTAGACCGACACCTAGCCATGCCTTAATTTTGTGGAGCTGCAAGGAACCTGTGATCTATAGGAGCCTAGTTGCCTATTTTACAGATAATGAAAACTGAAACCCAACAGGGTGAAAGACTTGCCCAACATCGCACACTAGTGAGAGGCAGAGTATGGACTGGAACCCAGTCTCTCGACTCTCAGGCCGATGTTCTCTATGAAAATAGGTTGTCTCTTTAGCTTTCCCCCATTAACATCTCAACGTAAATGAGATCACAGGCCTTTCAAAAGAAAGCTCAATGCCACTTTCTCTGTAAAGCCCAGAAGCCAGGCCCCACTTTGGCCTCGGCTCTGATCAGCTCATGTCCTCATCGAAAGAACAGGAAGTAGCTCATTTTTAGCTCTGAAAGCACATTCTGGGGGTGGGAAAGGGGGATTTGGGGAAGAGAGTTCCTGTAGATGATGGGTAGGAGTGATCAGCAGACACATTCCTCTCGCTGGAAGGGGAAGATACATGGTTCAATAGGTAAGCAGAAGATAAGTCCTTGAGTCCTAACCAGAACATGTCCTCAGCAAGAGCTTCTCCACACCCTGGGAGGGGGGGGGGGCGGGTAGGGGGAAGATTCTGCCCTGATTCTGTTCTGCTAGAACTGGATGTCAGGGTGGGTGTGGGGTAGGAGCACCAGGGTGGGAAAATTTGTACAAACTTTCTACAACCTCCAATGCTTCCCCACCCTCTGCTAGCACCCACAACTTCCCCTGCCAAGGGAGGAAGGAGGAACACATTATTCAGTTTAATAATTTATACAAATTGAAAAGTTTACTGTGTGAAATAAAGGGGACTTAAGAGGGCAACAGAGAAATAAAAATTCCTGAGTCCTCCCTTAAAGGCTTGAGGTGTAGAGATGACGCCTCTGGATGACCTTGCCTTGGAATAGAACAATGTGTCTAACAGATGGGTCTGAAATAAGCAAGTAACCCCTCCCTTTGATGGTCAGCCAAATTTTGTCTCCTTCTATGGCAGGATCACATCCAGTGTTAGCACGTGTCAGCCAGGGACATCAAAGAACAGAGATCCAGATCCACGGATAGTTTGTCTATGTTAGTGGTTCTCAAAACTGGCAGCCCATCAGAATTGTCTGGGGAGCTCATTATAAATTTAGATTCCCAGGAACCAACCCGGTGATTATTAGGTAGATCTGGGGTAGGGCTCAGGAACCTTCATTTCCAATAAGCAGGCCTGGTGTAAGAACCAACGATCTGGTTCAACCCCATTCATTCAGCTATCAAAATTTTACACGAGATCCTGGTTTTACAGCAAGAGAAAACTGAGGCGCCAAAAATAGTTAGTGCCAGTACTTGGACTTGAACCCAGCCTCCTTCCTCTTGGTGTGGTATCTTTGCCAATACCCTCACACATGGCTTTCTTCCCTCAGCTCACCAGTCTACTGAGAACCCCTGAGGATCAGTGGGGGCCATTTATCCAAACCACAGAGGAATCAGAGCTGCCCAGGTACTCTGATTAAGTTCCTACTTGGTTCATTGGTGGAAATGGCTGGTAAGGGGTAGGGCTGAAGGTGTGTTCGGTATCCTGGTGGGCTGACAGGGCAAGGTCCAGCTGATGGCCTCTAAGGCATACTTCCCAGTTGCTCCAGTCAGGAAGTATAGTCAGTCCATAGAAGCAACCTGCTGTGTTAGAGGAGAAAGGGTGTCAGAGGCAGAGGGATGAGGGGGAGAGTGATAGAAGATGAAGTCACTAAGGTAACGTGAGGCCAGACTATCTAGGGCCCTCTGGGCCACATATAGATCTTTGGCTTTTACTCTGAGCCACTGCAGGATTTTGAGCCAGAGAGTGGCATAATCTGACATATTTTCCCAGGGGTCCTCTGATGTAGTGGTGAGAACAGACTTTATAGGGCAGGGAGGGATAGAAGCAAGGAATCCAGTTAGGAGGATTTATAGTAAGCCAGGGGACAGAGGAAGGTGGCTCAGATCAAGGTGGCAGAAATACAGGGGTGAGAAGTGACTGGATCCTGGATGCTTTTTTAAAAGTAGAGCTAACAGATTTTCTGATGGGTGGGATGGGAGGTGTGAGATAAAAAGGAGTCAAGGATGGTGCCAAGTGTTTTGGCTCGAGCAACGGGCAGGCTGGAGTTAACATCAACTGAAATGGAGAAGGCTATGGGTGGAGAAGGTCTGTGGGAGGGACATCAGGAGTTTGGTTTTGGGCATGCTGAGTCACTGACACTCACGTGGTATTTAAATAAAGTCTCACGCCTGGATGAGGTCATCAAAAGAGTGAGTACAGACAGAACAGAGGATTGAGGCCCTTGCCGGTGGGCTGCGAGCACCAAGAGATTAGAGAGATGGAGAATCAGTGAAAGACACTAGAAAAGGGTAACCAGGAGGGGAGCAGGAAAACAGGAACCTGTGGAATCCTAGTATTTGCAGGAACAGGGAGGGATTGGGTGAAATGCCACTGCTGAGTGAAGGAAGATCAAGTGTGAGAACTGACTATTGGATTTAGTTACTGGAGGGCACTGGTGACCTTGAGAGCAGCGTTTGACTCCTGACCTCAGAGTCTCAGTTTGACAACTGACTGTTATTTAGGGCTCCCTTACCGTTCATCTTCGCTTCTCAATTAGGTTGTAAACATTGCAACAACAGGGAAGATGAGCTGGCAGAGCCCCAGAGCAACGGGCCCTGGTACAGTTTGCTAACAGACCCACCTGAATGCCCCTCTCCACCGGGGTGCCGACCTAGAGCAATTTTCCTCATGCCTTGCTTACCTTGGACGCAGAACTTCAGTTCTTTGGGGTCAGTGATGACTTTCCTGCTTTCCCGGATCACAGCCCGGTTCTTCTTGGTTTCTCCCCAGAGATTGGTGCCACCGTACATGCTGGGAATGTTGAGAATGGCAATGCCCTCGAGGAAGATGTTGCTCAGGTCTACCTCAACCCCGTCACACTGAGGGGCAGAGAGAAAAGATCATTGGTTAGTGTTCTCAGTGTACCCCGACCCAAGCGCTATGTGTATGTGTGTGTGGTGGGGGCTCTCATGAAGGGTGTGATGGGCCCTCAGCCAGCAGCTCAATCTTGAGCAGGGTGGCGGAGGCCTAATGCCTTGGCCATTGAAGTGGGTTGGGGAGATGCAATCCTGGTCAGCTCTGAGGACAGCAGTACAAGGCTTCAGATCTAGAAGGGCTTTAGGGATGGTTCTCAAGACAACTGCAAACCTGTTCTCTGGTCCAACCTCATTATCATCAATTCTGTCCCTGCCTAACCATTGTGAAGATATGGTGGGAAGCTGAGCCCCGAACCTAACACATAGTAGATTCTGAACAAAGGAGAGAAAAGTTTCACTTCACACCCCCCCCCCCTTATTTTATCCCTCCGGTGAAAAGGACAAGATGTGAAGACTTGGAAGGCTTTCAGATACAGCACGGAATAGAGTCAATGGTATTGTCATAGCATTTTATGGTGACAGATGGGAGCTACCCCTGCGGTGAGCACAGCATAAGGCATAGAGTTGTTGAATCGTTATACTGTACACCTGAAACGAATGTAACATTATGTGTCAAGCATATTTCAATAATAAAGAAAAAAGATTTGGAAGGCTTGCAGAATTCACCTGTCTCCCGTATCTGCATTTTAAGTGCCATTTTGGCCCTTGTGCTTGCTGACGTTGCAGAGTGTCTTTATCCACTCTCCACCACCCCCGCATCCCCCACCCCAGGTACGAAAGGCCAGATGGCTTGAATCTGCCTGTCTCAAATATCTATAAGGTCAGCCTCCTTTTGGCATACTGTTTACCAATGCAGCAAGAAATGTATTAATTCTGATCGTTGTTCCTCACGACTGTAGGTAGTTTACTTCCTTTACAGCAGAAAACAACCAGACCCAGAGAAGGAAGTTAAGTTATTCAAGGTTGTACAATTGATATATAAAAGAGCAAGGATTCAAAGTTAGGGAATTTGACTGTAAAGCCCAAGGTCTTTAGCTCACTTATTGTGAGGCAGGAAAAGTGAAAAGCATGCAACAAAAATCCACTGTCTTTGGGGTTACCTACAAACCCAAACTTCCAGAGATTTCTCAACAGAGGAGGAACAGGAAGGAAGGGCTTATTGCCATTCATATTTGCTTACCTCTTGATATCTTCAGAGCTCTTAATTTATGGTGCCTTATCATCCCCGTGGCTTGTCCCCCAACTACAAAATGGAATGGAGTGAGCTTCTCTGGAGATTGGAAACTCATTTCTTCACTGGAAAGTTCTGATTATTTGAAAGCTTGTCTCTTTATGTTGAATTAGATTCTCTTTCTTCCTGCTTCCACCTATTGGTCCTCGTCTCCCTTCTGAAGCCAGACAGAATGACCCTCCTTCCTCCTCCATGGGGACAGCCCACCAGCTACATGATGACAATCATCATCACTGTTCAGATGTATTAAGCATTTGCCATCTGCCAGGTAGGCTTTTGTACACAGCTCATTTATTACCTTCATAATAATCTTGGAAGTCAGTCACTGTGACTATCTCCTCTTTATGTTTGAGGAAACTGAGACACACCAAGTGGTTAAGCAATTTGCCCAAAGTCACACAACGTACAAACGGAAGTACGCAGACTTGATGGCAGGCAGTCAGAGCCTAAGTCCTAACGACCCCTTTATCTCTCCTCCCTCTCACACCGCCATTTTGGTCGTGCCTCTTCTGGGTGGAACACGGTCAGCTCTCTCAGCCGCTCCTGTGGGACCTGGTTTCCAGACTTCCCTGTCCTGGCTGCCCTGTTCTGCACAGACTACTGTTGGTTACTCTCCCATTCTGTAAGGCCTCCAGCATTGTCACAGGATCTGATGGCAAAGGCGGCCAGGACAGGAGCACATCCTGGGGCTGGGCTCCCCTCACACGGTCATTCCCCCAGAAATAAGATAATGTGGGAAACCCACGGAAAGGCGCAACACATGTCCCCCATTATCATTATCCTTATTGTTAAATATGATCACAGTTGTACTAGCTCTTTTGTTAGCAGCTAGATGAGAGCTGAATCACTTCAGCTTGAATGGCAGATCATCACAGACACCCAGACCCTCAGCCCATTATCTACTTCTCAGCCAGCTCTTCCCTATTGGGACCTTGTGTAAGTATTTTTTAAAATAATGTAGACATAGGGCTTTACATTTACGTCAATCAATTTCATTTGGTTCCTAGCCCAAGTCCCCTCCGTCCATCTAGTTCATTTTAAATCTTCACTCCATGACCCCTTGCCATAGCCTTCCTATCATTTGGGGACTAAGTCATTAACACATGTATATAAAGGGCAAAAACAGGGGCCAAGCCCTCTCCTTGGTCAGTCTAACATGGCAGACACTGTGCATTACACAGCCCTCGAGGTGTGGCTGCCTTGCTGGGGCTGCAGCCTCTGGATGGGACTGTCACTCAGTCTCCTTTTCATTACAATGTGGAATCATGGAAATTAAAAAATGAGAGCGCCTTAAAAGAACATGCCCCATCTTTCATAAATGAGGCCCAGAAGGGTTTAGAAACTTGCCTGTGGTCACTCAACTTACTAATGGTGGAACCAGACTAGCATCCAGGTCTCCACACCTCAATCCCGTGTTCTCTCCACTAAAATACAAGACTGTGCTGAGACCAAACACCATTTTTCTAAATGACCACCCTACAATCTCTGTCAGAAAAGGAATAAGAGAACTCATATTAAATCACTAATATCTATGTGCAAAGGGCAAACACTTGGTTAATAATTTATTTCAGAAACTTGCCAGGGATTGGGATGTCTCCTTTTCTAATTTTTTGAAAACTGGGTATTTGTCCATTTACCTCTCATTGGATGAATCCTACTCTGTTTTCAAGATTTGTCAAAGCGGCCCCTGAAGGACATCTATAGGTTTGTCCAGCAACTTGGATTCTAATGGGTGTGTTTTTCCAAGGCCAGTTAGTTCTCTATTGATCTACCCTGGGCTCTGGTACCCACCTTTAGCATCTGTTCTTCCATTTTTTTGTTAGGGTTACTCTCTGGAAAAGATAAAAATTCTTTTGGTGGGCAAAGTCCTAATGAGCTATTCTTTCCATGTTCTCTTTCGCTTCATTGTCTAACATTCTGTTTGGCCTCCAGCATCAGGTCTGAGTTGCTTTTGTGCGTTCACACTTGGTTGCATGGTCACACCCTGCTTTTGCATGTACATGTACAGTCTCCTGAAAGCACGGGCCCAACCCAGAGCGCCCTGCTGCAGTCATGGTAATTTTTATAAATCTTTTCCCTTTTCTTCCCAATGGAATTAATGAATTGTTAAAAATTTATTTTGGAATATCTTCTATCCTTCCTATCCTTTCTACATAAATTCTTATGTAAGGATTCAGGCTAGAATCCCACTGGGTCAGACTTTTTTTCCAAACTCTCTGAAATTAGCTTGGCTCAACTCTGTCCAGCACTGACTTCCTGTACCCTTATCACTTCTGAGACAAAACGACACTTTCCCTCTTGGTTGTAGTTACTTCCACATCATCTCAATTTATTTATTGTTGGTCAAAATGCCCCTTCCCTCCTAGAGACAATAATAAGAATAGCATGAACAGCTCACATTTGGCGAGAGCTTCCTTGGGCAATGTGCTGGTCCTTGCCCTGCCTTCTCTCTTGGGATCCTCAGGGCACCACTGCTACCGCCCAAATGACAGGGTCTCATGGGGGTTAAGGTGCTTGCTCAAATCTACATAACTTGCCCCTCTACAGGCTGGCAGAGCAAGGATGCAAACCCAGGCAGTCAGACGCCAGATCCTACTCTGGAGATGAAAGAGTCAATGAGGCAAATCAGGACTTTTGCTGATGCTAGACTTATAGCAAAATTAAACTCCAGCTGTTGTCTGAATAATTGAAATCTTCCCACCACTACTCTGTCTTGCAGAGTACTTAGAGCAGTGCCCGGCACATCAATGTTGGATAATAGTATTATATCTTGCCTCGTTGCCAGCTTTGTTAAAAAAAAAAAAAAAGTATACCACTAGCTCAGCACAGCCTTGGCACAGCAGATTCCACAAAGTCATCTTTCTTCCCTGCTGCCGTTTTAAGTGTACCCTGTCCCCTCCATCTCCAGTCATAACCAGCTAGGAGTGTTAGCTATTAACTCGGTCAGTTGTTAACCTCTCTCCGCAAGAGCAAACAGTCCTCCCTCTGCTTTCTGATGGATTGTCCCCTTCCCCCATTATGTCTTGGTCACAGGCAGACTGGGGCAAATAGAATAGAAGAGATGGGAGTGCCTGGAGGCTGTTGGACAGTGGGTGCCCTCACCTTTGGAATGCACCTATTTGAAAACTGAGAGGCAATGCAGTGTCTTGGAAAGAGCATGATTGGGCCTGAAGGCAAAGAGATACGGGTTTAAATCTTGGCTCTGACATTGGCGGTTGTGTGATCCTTCCTTAAAGCTCCTTAACCTCCTGGAGCTTTAGTTTGTCATCTGTAAAATGGGGGTGGGTGGTGGAATAACCCCGAAGTGTCTACTTTGAGGGTCTGAGTGGTGTCTGGAAAGCAGTAGCATTCCATAACTGTCTACATTGTTATTACAGTTAATAATAATATTACCTGTGCCACCTCAGGCATATTTCAACGTGGAATCAGTCCCACTGCCTGAGACCTTGCCGGAAAAATTTTAATGGCCTCTTGGCCCCACCCATGCTTGTGAGAGCCCCGCCAGCCCATACCTGCATGCCCACTCTCCAGGGCTCTTGGCCTAGACATTACACATTGATTTCTTTCAGAACCCCAAGCCTGCTTAGATCTTGGGAAGGTGGAAAGCCGCCGTGCTGGATTTGGGAAAGTGAAGCCGAGAGTGGTACACCGTCGGCTTAAATAGAACATCGGCCCCAGGGCGGCTCCCGGGTGGGTTCCGGAGCTAAATCCTCCACCAGTTCCATGACGTCATCGGGCCCCCTCCCCCTGCTCCGGCTGGGGCGGGGAGAGG